CCATCCCTACTGTGAAGCATGGTGGTGGCAGTATCATGCTGTGGGGATATTTTTCAGCGGCAGGGATTGGGAGACTAGTCAGGATCGAGGGAAAGATGAATGGAGCAAAGTACAGAGAGATCCTTGATGAAAACCTGCTCCAGAGCGCTCAGGACCTCAGACTGGGGCGAAGGATCACCTTTCAACAGGACAACGACCCTAAGCACACAGCCAAGACGACTTAGGTCTCTGGAAACCTGAAAATAGCTGTGCAGCGATGCTCCCCATCCAACCTGACAGAGCTTGAGAGGATCTGCAGAGAAGAATGGGAGAAACTCCCCAAATACAGGTGTGCCAAGCTTGTAGCATCATACCCAAGAAGACTCGAGGCTGTAATCGTTGCCAAAGGTGCTTCAACAAAGTACTGAGTGAAGGGTCTGAATACTTATGTAAATGTGATATTTCATTTTTTTTTTTTTATGTACTAACATTTCTAAAAACCAGTTTTTGCTGTTTCATTATGGTTTATTGTGTGTAGATTGATGAGGGGGGGGGGGGGGAAACTATTTAATCCATTTAGAATAAGGCTGTAACGTAACAAAATGTGGAAAAAGTCAAGGGGTCTGAATACTTTTCAAATGCACTGTAGATACTTTGTAGTCAGCAATAAGGGAGTGATTGCTTCCTACAAGAACACAAAATGTGTACATTTCTAGATATCTTTAAAAAGCGAGTCGGGTAAAGAGCTTTATTTGGTCTTAAAGGAGCGGTGTTGTATTTTGAGGCTTGAATAAGCTAAGTAGCCAATAGGCAGAGGGTAGCATAATTTGTCTGATTCTCTGTAAAAATGGTATGGGAATAATAATGCATTTTGTAAAGTGGTTTCTTGCCTCAAACAACACAAAAACATTTTCAGTCACCTCCTTGTCTGAAGAACAAGTGGATAAACAGGTTAATGTCAAGCCCTGGAAGGTTTTTTTCAAAAGTATCATGGAATGTAGGCCTATATTGAACACCACACATTGGCTGCTACTGAAGGCTGAATGATAGAAAAGCTATTTCCTTATTAAAATGTTACGGGATGCACTCTGGTGGGTCTACATTATGATCAAATAGCCACAGTAGCCTACTTGACCACTGTAAAACTGTAACTTAAAGTGGGTACAGCCTCAGTGTTCACAGTAAACGGGTGCTGGAAGTTGTACAGAATTTTCACAACCTTCAAGTTTGCGCTCAGCAGACCTGAAATTTGCTCAGTGCCGAAAAACATTAGAGGGAACATAGGTCACTGGCAAAGTAAGTTTTATTATTTGGTTCTTTGCTTGCTCTCTTTCCACAGTTCACAATACCAGTAACTGACAGAAGTGAACTAAAGATCTTATCTGGTGAGTGGCATCCCTTATTGGCTACAGCAGGTCTATGGAGTGCATTGTGTGAGAATCTGCCTCCCAAAGTGCTCTGTGAATTTTTCACAAGCTTCAGATTAATTTGCCATTTGTCATCTCCTTCCTTCTGCTGCTGAGGAGAAATGCATATAGAGTCTGAACGGTCCTTAGATGGTAGGTTATATATTCATTAGATAAGGACTTGTTGCATAATCAGGTTGATCAAAATATGCAAACTAACGCTCTTTCTCACACCTAAAGATCATGCCGTCTCTTTGAAGGGTATCAATCAAATATCAACCAAAATTGGATGTTAAAATCATATTCACAATGCATCTCAGAGTAGTGCTAAACTGGATCAATTTACCTTTTTAGATCCTAATGAATACGATTACAGTATATGGACAGGGGGGACTTGATCCTAGATCAGCACCCCTACTCTGAGATGTTTTGTGAATATGAGCCCAGATATTAACATCCCATTTTGGTTGATATTTGTTTGATACCCTTCAGAGAGACGACATGTTCTTTAGGTGTGAGAAAGAGGGTTTGTTTGCATATTCGATCAACCTGATTATGCAACAAGTCCTTATCTAATGAATGTGAGATGCAAACAGGGTCTGGAATGCAGGTCTCCTGACCATGTGTACCCAACAGGCTGCCTCGAAGAAATCAAGGTGTTCAGCTGGTGATTTAGTAATGCAATTCCTTCTGAATATTGGAGGGGTACATTTTAACCACTGTTCATGACCTGTAAAAGCCTAGGACCAGACTGATCATTTGCTTCGCAAACCAAAATGTTGTGTGCCTTGAAAAGGCACAATTCAGAAACTAGCATAACAGTCTATAATAATGCTCAAATCCACAAATTGGCAAGAAAATGAGAAAGACTGTTAAATGAGAGAATAATTATTCTCAATAATTCTCAATGCATGATGTAAGATACTCTGAGTCAGTGTTTGTAGCATACTTATCATTGTGAGAGATGAATTACATAATTCACCTTTAGGACTATCATGGCAAGCTGAACATTGTGTCTCTGAGTGGAGAATAACTTTTTCATTAATACTGAGTGGATTGTGCAAACGGAGGTGGTGTGTGTTTGGAGTGGAGGGAGGGCCGGCCCTAGCTTTTTGGGGTAAATCATTTGAGAGGTCCCCCTCTTGATGGCAGAGAGATTTATTTGTATTTTTATTAATGCTAATTTCCTGCAATTCTACGTATTTTGCCATGGGGCGTAGAGAAAATGTTTTGGTTTTATAGCACATTTTCTGCATTTCTACACATTTTGCCATGGGGTGGAGATAAAATGTTGCAATTTTAAAACTAATTTCCTGCAATTCTACACATTTTGCCATGACTTATGCCATGTTCATATGATATCTGAGTGAGAGTGACTAACAAAATCAATGTGGGCCCTCTGGAGGTTAGGACCCCTGGGCACAAGCTCTGCGTGCCTGGTCAGTTATTCAGCCATGATTACTACAAGGTGTAGGTAGCTGGCTAGACTTACTTTTTAAAGAGAAAAACTGCTGATGCACTAACAAATTTCGAAATTGCAACTTGTGTATTGTAATATTATAACTCTCAACAGTAAATTGAGACCCCGCTTTGGCTTCTTCTGCATGCATTCACCAACCCACATTCACCAACCCACAGGGAAAGTGATATCATCTAGAACACTTCCCCCTTTCCCTACCTTCGTTGAAGAAACCCTAGCAGTTTAGAGTTCACCTGAGCGTCATACACCCCTCCTCTTGTCACGCCTCCACAATAAGAGCTGATCCTCTATTCTAGAGCTTATTGGGACTAGAGGACTACCTGAGAGAAGATATTCACAAGAGAGAAGACACACAGACAGAGATATAGATAAATCAGGGTGGAGGGACCGAAGGTTTATCACTTTAAACAAACACAACCCAGAGACATAGGTGAGCTGATAAGGCAGTCTAGCTCAGTTTGTGTCTGTGCTTTAGGATAGTAGACCTTGTCAGTGTTTCAGAGTCAGGGGCGCTTTTTCACACATGGAATGTCTGGTGAGCTGTGTGTTCTAAAACTGCATAGAAGAGCGAGAAGAGCGAATATACTGAGAAAGCATAGAAAGACTGCTTCCGGATACAACGATAGACACTGGTAAGCTTTCAAGACTTACTTTTAAGCAATAAGTGAATGAACACTACAGTAATTGTTTTCCCTCACTACAGCTTGATCAAACAGTGTGTGGCCTATATACTGTAATGGCTTTAGTTAGTGGTTCACGTGTTGACTTAGTGTCAGTGGACCAACTAATTGTCCAAAGAAATGATTATTTTCATCTGGAAACAGCATAACAAATTGGCAGTTTTACTGTATTTGAATCATGCCAGCTACCTCAGCTTACCTGAGGCAGTATCTCTGACACATTGTCCTCATAGCTGTCTCTGAGAGACTTCTAAAAGCCCCATACAAATCTTAGATGTAAAAACGAAATAATTGTAGATCCATTGGAACTAAATTGTTGAGGATCCATGATTGGAACTATCAGGAAGTTTATAAAACCTTGTACTAACTGTACAGAAAAACAGCCCACCTTGGGGATTTCTGCATTGTCTGAAATATTTGACAAAATTCCTAAACAGCAGCATTTTCCTCAGGTGCTTTTTGCTATAACTAACAATACAAATAAGACAGTATCACCTTCACATTTTAGGCAAATGAGGAAAGTCCCTAACCAGGTTGTCTTCCAGTCAGGCGTAAACCATTTTCCTTAGAATTACCAAGGCATTGTTCCATTACAGGTAATATGAAACACTACCCTGGGGAAAAACACTAATCTTGTCAATCTTTAATCTGAGTGAAATGTGATACTACCAGTTACAACAAGCCATGATTGCAACACTATCTCAAAACTTCAAGTAGCTTTAGACACATAAACATAGTGTGAACGATGACATCGAGTGAAACCAAAGCTAAAGCAATCACAGAAACACCAACAGTCAAAAGAAAAAAGCATTTTTATCAGTTCAGAGATAAAAGTAATGGCCCTGAAATAAAACAAGTCTCCAAGGATACTTATTAACAGACTAAGGTGCCTCAGTGTTCTACTTTCCAGTACAATAGGTTGTTTAGACTTTTCCTTCTATGAGACAAATAATTCAGCATTCAGCTCTCTTTAGGCATAGATTCTTACTAGATTAATGTCAAATCCGTGACAAACCTTTGTGCCGCAAGCTATGTGTGTGAAGTTAGAATAGTATTACAGTGTGTTTGCTTAGACATGTATACAAGAAAAACAGGTTATTTTATTATACAGTCATGGCTGCAGGTACCAGTCCATATATGGCCATTGCTAGCTACCCATCTCAACCTGGAATCCAATTTCATGACAATCGTGGCAAATGATAATGATGATTATAACAATTGTGACAAAGGTTGTTTAGCATTGGCATTTCTAGGGGGTATAGCTATGAAATGCCTAAATGGAAAATATACAAAAGAATGAGTATCCAATAATTTAATGTGAGTTTTCTTGACCTAGTTTGTTTGTCCTCACATTTTCAGAGCTGCCTAAAGGTCAACTGGACCTTTCAACTGAGTGACCTCCACCTCAGCCTAAAAGGGTTGAACTCACTGACGGTACATGCCATTAAGTCCAAGATGCCTCTGAAGACTACCTTGTACCTCAAATCGGCCTCCATGCGCTGGCCTCGCAAGCAGAAGCGCCGTGAGCTGCTGTCAGTCAACATGATCAGCCTACCGCTGGGCGACTTCCGCCACCTCTCACACATCGGAATGGATGCCCACGGTGATGTCTTCGGCGACCTCGCAGCCTTCCAGCGGACCGGTAGTCTCATCCTCCACAGCTCTAAAAGCCACCAGGACCTCTACTCTAACATCACCCCCAACGAGACTCCCCCACCCCCACCCAAGCCCCCACGCCTCCTCAGCCCAGAAGAGATGGATGCACAGGCCGCCAAAGCCAGAACCCTTCCCCAGGCTTCCAGGCACAAGAGGCGCCTCTTCCTGCCTTTACTGGATGGTGTGGAGGTGGTGGAGCATGACAGGTTGCACCACGGAGAGGAGGTAAAGCAGGAGCAGGAAAAGAAGGAGGAGGGAGGGTTAACGATGGGGCCGGATGGATCCGAATTGAACACGGCCCCCCAACAGGCTCCTTGTCCCCCAGTGGAGGCCCCTCCAGGGGTCGATGAAGACTCGTCTTTTGTCCTGGACCTTGACCTGGGGCCGTCCATACTAGAGGATGTCCTGAAAGTAATGGACCAGCTTCACCAGTAAGACTTTGAGAAGTGTGGCCCTCATACATATGATTGTAATATATTTTATTCTAAGGGCCTTTCAAGAAACCCGACATATATAGGGGAGAAAAACTCAAAGCTCCTTCCTTTCTAATGGGGATTGAAAGGGGTTGTGTCATGGATGGATAAATGGGCTGGACTATTTTCAATTGCCAGGATGCTAATTGGCACATTTATTTTTAATTACGGTCTTCATAGAGGACAGATTGTATAATATTTTCTTATATTGGATGCAAGATAATATGAGCCTCTATTGTTAGTTTGGCTAACTAGAGGAATGTGTCATATCTGGGTCAATGCTTTGAACAGTTGCCCTTCTCAGGTGAAAGCTCTGTGAGCCAATGACACTCCACCTGGATCATGTGACTTAGTGACAGATAATGTCACATATTTGTATGACAGGTGTATAGAGGAGACATGTTGTGAAAGGTAAGAAAGACAGACGGTAAACTACGTATGAGACAGTGCTGTGAGGCAGACATTTATGACTTATGCTTGTCTGACAACTTCTATTGTGGAAACCTAAAAGAACACGGGTTGCTTTTTATTTTCAATATTTAGGCCTACTATACAGGGACAGTGAAAACTAGCTCTCCCATAGCGTCTAAGTCAGACATATGCAGTAGCACTAAGGACAGAAGCTGGGTTGTTCCCTTTTGCGTCCCTTGGATATTTTAAGTCTAAATTGTGCACCAATATAACATTTTAAAAGCCTGTTATATTACTTGAAGTGCACTTTAATATAGACCACATGAAAATGTCTATTCATCAGATTTTTTTATATGAATAAAGAATTGCTAAAGTGCCAAAACTCTACACCCTCTGTGACTTCTAGGAAGATTTTAACCCACTTAACCCCAGCATTTCTCCAAGTTGTCATCATCATTGTAAAGCCCTAGTTATTTTGTTGCTTTGACAAAGTCATTTCTTCATGTGATTAGTGATTTATTTTTAGGTTAAAATAATTTTAAGGTCAACCCTGTTACGTGAACTGAACCCTCGTGTTAATATGGTGAAACTGTTCCTTTAAAAAAAAATCTAAAGAAACATTGAACATCTAATAGTCAAATCATAATGTAATTTCTGTTTTTTTGTGGTGAAATACTGAGTGGGTCGAGCATAACACGTCAAACCTGTTACCCATAGATTGACAGTTAAACATTTTTGTAAAGCTTGCATTCAATTGCCCCTCCCTGTTGCACACAACAAGCTTCCATCCCTCCTGTCACAAGGGGATTTATGGCTGATTTAAAATGAAATTGTCAACTCTGTCAGGGTCAACCCTGTTACTCTTCATGACAGAATGTTAAAATTAGGTGAAATAAAAGTAAAGTAGCACTACCCAAAAGGGACTTGATTTGTGGAACGACCCAGTGATGACTCACTAGAGCAAGGGTGTCAAACTCATTCCATGGAGGGCCTAGTGTCTGCAGGTTTTTGGTTTTTGGTTTTTCCTTTCAATTAAGCCCTAGACAACCAGGTGAGGGGAGTTCCTTCCTAATTAGTGACCTTAATTCATCAATCAAGTACAAGAGAGGAGTGAAAACCTGCAGACACTCGGCCCTCCGGGGAATGAGTTTGACACCTGTGCACTAGAGTCTATACAGATAGGCCTATTTTATATTTCAGTTGTATATTCATAAAGTTCAAACCTTTATGAATATACAACTGTATAAGTCTTTCATAAGTTATTACATGGTTTATGGTGTGACCGTGAACAGTATCAGTCTCTAAAAAATGTATTTAGAAAATCAAAGCTCACTGACAATCCTTTCCTTTCCCATATCAGAATCTGTTAGATAGAATTTTGTTTTGGTTAAGGTGGAGCATGAACTCTGCTCGGCACAAGGAAATCACATTTGTGCAAAATCTGTAGAATAAGCTTTCATTTGTGAAATAAAAACCATAAACCCAAGTAAGATCTCTCTTACCGTTTGCATCGCTGAGCCGCTCTTATTCTTTAACAACATCTTCTAACAACTATCACATCAGTTTGTCTTTCCTCACCACCTGATGGCGATATTTCACAGCCTTTTATTGGGTGGCATGTAGTTTACTTCATTATTTCATGGTCCAGTGGGTCCATGTCGATTATTAGATCGATAGATTAGATAGATTAGATAGATTAGATAGATTAGATAGATAGATAGATAGATAGATAGATACAGCTTTATATATCTCCCTCAAGCTCTTTGACAGAAACTGGAATCAGGAATATTCCATAAATCTAATTTGCCCCATAACAAATTAAAATTAAAAAACTAAAGAATTTATTAGTTCTATACTCAATATGGCCATCCATCTTTTTAGTATGCTTTTACCACACTCAGACAGTTCGATTTTGGCTAATTTTCCTCCCTGTATCCTATTTAATATCCTCCATGTTGTTCCCTCTACTCTTGGGATTCAGGCAATCTCAACAATGGGACTGAGGCACAACCGCACCATTGATTCTCTTCCGCATCTGTGTGCGAGATAACAAGAATCAGCTTTTTGTCTGGGCCAGATACACTGCTGACCAGGGGCATTTCTAGGATTTGAAGACATTGGGGGCTTAGCTCAAAGCCAGTATGGGGGACATCCTTCCCCGGCAAGAAAAAATGAATTTCAACAGCTAAATGCATGAATTTGGTGCACTTTGAGATTAACATTGAGAGATTAGATATTTTTCAGGTAACTTGCACCTGCCACAGCAGACACTGCCAGTGCTCAATTACAGTAGCTACTCTATGCATGAACCTTTTAATGCGTGAGTTCCAAATATCTCTAACGGTCGCCCCAGCGTGAGTATTACATTATTTTATTTTTTTGATGTGTGTGATGTCAGAATGCTCTCATTGTTCCAAAATGTGATTGTTACGCAACAGCAAATTTAACCCGCGCTGCCCTCAAATCAAGGCATGCTGCATGCTAATTATCTATAGGCTGTTTCAACTTGTCAATTTCGAATTATTTTCTAACAAGTTTTATTTTCTAAAAATAGTTTCAATTGAGATGTGTTCTGCCTCCTCATTAATTCACATAGAAGTAGCCTATTTCACTGTTGCGAACAATTTACGTTTGAGGCTAATTTCTCGATTCGACTTCCCCAGTGTTTCCCCAGATCAATTATGCAGACATTTGCGCATCTTCAGGAACTTTTCCCCCCTGGCACGTTTTCCGGTTGGCACCCGCATTGCCTTCATTGTTGTCTTCCTTACTAATAATAACTTTGGACGTGCCTTATTACGTTATCATTAAAGTTTCTGTATATCATGTTGTCATTTCTACTGTTGCACACCGTATGTATGTATGGAGAATAATGTTTTACTGTTTTATTCACATGTTTTCAAATACTGGTGACAAATCATGCATTTCGATTCTTGCATAGATTGTAATGGACACATATGATGTGCTTAAAATACTTTTTTGAAGGTTGTACTGATTATGATGAGCTAATGCTAATTGCCAGCTATATGTGGCGCCATGTTTGTTGACATCATACAATGTATTCTGGTTGTCACATAAACGTCTGTCAGACCAAAGATGTTATAACAAAACGAGGTGAAGGGATGGTTCACTCGTCTTTCGAGTAAACTTCCGGGAGTGAATGATGGTAGACGACACACCCCCTTCAACATTCATACTGAAAACAGACCCAACTCATCTTGTCACCTCTTATCTTTGGTTGACGCAAAAAAATCATGGCGGCGCACACAAACTAACCTTTTGATTTTTTGAAAGTGTTTTACGCAAATATTTGGATCACTGGTGAGCTCACCCGTGATGTGATGAATTATGAATAGCAATTGCTATTAGCTAATTCATATTATGGTTTCTGTCAGCCGAGAGTAGCTAAATATGACTGCTTGTGTTAGGGCACTCTTTCCACAGTTAGTGCTACGACTAATTTAGCCTACATTTTCCGGTTGGGATGAGAATTGTGTTATGCTGTCGCTACTTCTGTGAATGTCTGAACATTGCATCCAAAAATAAACTGCTCACATTGAGGACATAAGGTTGTAAAGACTGCGTTTGTGCAAAACGTTTCTGTGAAAAAACAGTGTAGCCAGCTCAAATGCTGACTGTTGAGTCAATCGTAACTGGACATTCTAAATTAGTGTTCTATAAGTGTTCACCGGTTTGAGAGTACGCTGCAGGGACCACTGTAGAACGATCACACCCGTGAGTTTGGACGTGTCAAAGGGTTCATTAGAATCCATAGAGCAACTTTAAGTGATACAGTCTATTGTGTGCTCACCCGTCCTCTGACTCTCTCCATCGCTTTCTCTGTGTCGTCTGTTGCTGTCTCTTGTTTGCCCTCTTCTCAAATCAAATCAAATGTTATTTGTCACATGCGCCGAATACAACAGGTGTAGACCTTACCGTGAAATGCTTACTTACAGGCCCTTAACCAACAATGCCAGTCAAGAAATAGAGTTAAGAAAATATTTACTAAATAAACTACAGTAAAAAATTTAATAAAAAGCACCACAATAAAATAACAATAACGAGGCTATATACAGGGGGTACCGGTACCGGGTCAATGTGCGGGGGTACAGGTTAGTTGAGGTAATTTGTAGTAGGGGTAAAGTGACTATGCATAGATAATAAACAGCGAGTAGCAGCAGTGTAAAATCAAAGGGGGGGGGGGGGGGGGGGGGGGGGGGTACATTGTCCACCCAGACAATGTAAATAGTCCGTGTGGCCATTTCATTAATTGTTCAGCAGTCTTATGGCTTGGGGGTAGAAGCTGTTAACGAGCCTTTTGGACTTAGACTTGGCGCTCCGGTACGCTTGCCGTGCGGTAGCAGAGAGAACAGTCTATGACTTGGGTGACTGGAGTCCTTGACCATTTTTTGGGCCTTCCCTTGACACCGCCTAGTATATAGGTCCTGGATGGCAGGAAGCTCTGCCCCAGTGATGTACTGGGCCGTACACACTACCCTCCGCAGCACCTTACGGTTGAATGCCAAGCAGTTGCCATAACAGGTGGTGATG